ACTGCTGCCACCAGGTGATCACTAAATCACTGTTACTTCAGGAAGATGAAGATTCAGTTCCACACCTTAAAGTCTTTTAAATATAACTTTTTTTATTGATTACAGAAATTGATAATGATTCATGAATATCTTCTCTAGGTAAATTTATTATTAACAACAATCTTCTATTTGATAATACACTCCTAACTAATCACCTTTCAGATTTTCCCAAACTCCACTCTATCTCCTTCTCCACACTCTCACGCTACTTATACTCTCCTCTCTCTCTCTCTCTGACTGACTCAGGCTCCGCCTCTTATCACATCTCTCTCAGCTCTGCCTCTCAGCAACATGAATATGCATGAACAATTAACATAACAAACATGAACCATTGACATAATAAAGGGGAACACTACAAGGCAGAACTGTGTAACAAAGCTCCAGCGACTTCAAAACTAGATAGCATTGCATGCTGTACAAAACAGCAAATTTTGTAGCAGTACTGGATAAAGGCCTGGTGTCATAATAAACAAAGCAGCAAGGTTATTCGGATTTGGATTAAAACCACTGATTGATTTCAATAAACTGTTACAACTCTGGTTATTCATTTAAGACTTGGTCAGAGAGCTACATAATAATCATAACGATAAGACATTTCTCGAAGGTTACTTAGAGGAATTCATTCGATTGCACAACCACGCTAGAGTCAAAATATCAACTAAAACATTGAACAGAGCCAGTACCTGTATCCATGTTTACTTTGTAATTAGTCCCTTTATGATTCTGAGTGAATGCACGCAGGCTCGGACTACAAGGGACAAACGTTACAGCAGTATAGTAGTAAGCTCCATTTCTCGAAGGTTACTTAGAGGAATTCATTCGATTGCACAACCACGCTAGAGTCAAAATATCAACTAAAACATTGAACAGAGCCAGTACCTGTATCCATGTTTACTTTGTAATTAGTCCCATTATGATTCTGAGTGAATGCACGGAGGCTCGGACTACAAGGGACAAACATTACAGCAGTATAGTAGTAAGCTCCTTTCCACACATGACAAAATGTTATGGGCAAGTCTAATGACTAGAGTACTGAAGTAATTAGGAACACACAAATGTGCCACCAGAAACATTTTTGGCAAAGTTATTATTTCCATGGGCAACCAAAATCTTTCCCAACATGTCCTCTCTGTGTCCTGACCTGGCTGTTGGAGGTTTGTTTCTGAAGAGTTGGTCATGGCTCCAGGGCCGGATTTCACAAGAAGTGAAGTGAATATGAAATAAGGACAGCAAGTTGAGCCTGGCAAAGTGATTCCTGCGCATTTGGGGCCATGCAATGGTTGTGATGTCACAAAGCCATGTAGCGAATCAGATGTTGCTGAGTGAGTATGTCACAAAGCCAAAGCAACATGAGAGCAAGATTCCCTTTCAAAAAGTGATTCTGAGTTTTTTCTCACTTTTTGCCAACCCCCTACCCTTGTTATATAGCAGATAAAGGGTTTGATGAAAAATCCCTCAATTTTATATTAAGTCCTAACAAGTTTCATAAAAACTGTGTTCTGTCCCATTTGTTCATTCACATATCAGAAGGTGTGAATTGGTACAACACAGTGAATGCTTAGATCTTCCACTCTTCCATATATCTCAAGGAAGTATTTCAATAAGAAACCCAGGTTAGTTTTGTGACTTCAGGATATGGTGGGGCAAAATATTTCCCTGGTTAAATGTCAAGGTTTTGTTTAATGGTCCTATATACATGACTTTATGAAGTTGAAAAACGTTAATTCATGCATTAACATAAAAGTCTGTGGTGCGTCATACACAAAGAACACAAAGAGGGGCTTCCTAACTGGGATCAAGGAGGCATGATTAGGATTCCAGTAATTCATCTGCAATACACGGTGATAGCTGTGTAAGACCCCTTGAATTGCTACAGTTCCTTCCTAATGGAATTCTGGGATCTGTGGCTTGGTGAGGTACTTAGAATTCCCTATGATTGTTCAGGGGAAGGTTCCCTAGCTGATAATTCTAAGTATTTCACCAAACTATAAATCCCAGGATCCCTTAGGAGGGAGCCGTGACAGGTTAAAGTGGTCTCAAGTTGATAGAAGCATAGAGCGCAGGTAGTGACACTCCTACTTAGCCTTAGCCAAGTCAGTATTTCTTTCTAACCACAAAATACAGTTTGAAGTTAGAACTAGAGCAGCCCCATGCTTGTGCTTTATGCTTCTAGGAGAGTATTGCACAAGTTCTCAGATGCTCCTGTGTTCTGTGAAGCCAGTAGATTCCACCCATCTATCCTCATAGTCCACAGGTGCTACAGTTGTTCCCTGGCTTCTATGTTCTTTTTTCCTTTCTCCCCTATCCCCACCTCTTACAGGTAGAGTATAATAGCCAGATTCAGAAAACAATTTTCCTAGTGAAGGGAGGGGCAACAGACTTTTCCATTCCAGGCATCCAAGATTGCTGAATTGGAATGAGTAATACAAAAAGGCATACAGCAATCCTGATGGGAATCATAGGAACATGGGACAGGTTTTCATTTCCAACTTCCCCCATCTAGCACCTCTACCTATCCCCACATGCTGAGATGGCAGTGGTGGGAAGAGTGTGTAGCTAGAACCCATACTCACATTCATGTGTGCCTCTGTCCTTTGTCACTCGCCAGCCAACAAGCCTGCTTACCCTTATCCTAAAATAAACTGAAGAAAGGATTAAAATGGTTTGATTTGGATTCCTGCATTGAGCAGGGGGGTGGACTCAATGACCTCATAGGCCCCTTCCAACTCAACTATTCTATTATTTTAAATACTTCTAGGTAAGCAGCCCTTTAGAGGGTAAGAGCCAGCAACATTTCTCAGCCAAAGGGTATGGAAACTGACCAAGTTGTACCCAGTTTCATTTGGACACAAATATTGTATCAAGTAACCACAGGTTGACATTCCATCTTCACTTATAGCAAAGGCAGAAGAACATCTCTCTCTCCAGAAGTTGTTGACTTGTAACTCCCATCCGACCAAGAAAGTGGAGAAGAAGGAAAGTTGTGGTCCATCTTCTGGGGGGGGGCAAAGGTTCCTTTCATTCAAAGTAAATCAAATGAACTTTGCTCTTCCTAGATATCCTGTCACGGCATATGGATCGCTTTTATTGTATGCTATCTTTAAACAATAGACCAATCCCAGTTATTAAGTGGTGATTGGCACCTTACTGAAACTATGAATGTGTGATTTGCAAACTTAAGGTTTCAGATTCCCCTCCCCCCAGATGTAAATGTAAGTGAGCTTAACATCCCTGACTGAAATATCTGAGAAACTCAAAAGAACTGTTGCTTCGAAGTGTAGCTACTCCATTGATCAAAGCAAACCACACAGGCAAGGTCATATTCCACCCATATGCCCATAGTGTGCAGACAAAGGACGATAAGATATCTGTAGGGTAAGAATACCATAAACTGCAGGGGGGAGAATGACATAATTAATTTTTACAGAAAAAACAGCCAGTTTCTTGAAATTCTAGTGTCCAGAAAGGAATGCCATCAACAAGGAAAAATGCTGATCCCTAGGACTGGAGTTACTTGAGTTTGTCGTGAAAACATTCTCCATGGAGGAGCTTGCTGATTTGAGATGTTGGCCTACCTTTTCCCTGTTTTACCCAGACAATGGGTTGGCATGCAGTCTGTGTAAGGAATTGTCAGGATAATGACCAGAGGCAAGATCCAAATCCATGTCTGGAACTAATCCCCCTTTCTTTGATGACATATCTGTGATTTCCAGAATACCACAGTGTCACGGAAGAGAAGTCAAAATGGAATGATTGTGTAGCAAAATCATTTCATGTTTCCAAGCTCTCCCTGAAGAGTTTTTGTCCAGCTAGTCAATTCAGAAAGAAAAGGGGAAAGGAATGGACAAATGAGGTTGCCCACCAAAAGCCGTCTTTGCTGTGAGGAGACACATGGCAGGACTTCACTTTAGCCTAATGCAGTCCACCTCTTCTGTGACAGGCATGGCACTTGTTCTGATGTCCATATCAATGCTCGACTTGGACCCATGGTAGGTAGATCTCCATCTGAGAAGCATGATCTTCTTGAAGTACTTGATGGTGTTGTTCTTCACCGTTACAAAGCACATGGTGTTTATCATGCTGTTACTCATGGCAATGCACTCGACTATGTAAAAGGCTGTCAGGTAGTGCTTCTCCTTCACAAACACAGTCGGGAAGAAGTCACGGACAATTGTGAAGCCATAGAAAGGTGCCCAGCAGAGGACATAGGCAGTCAGGATGCACATGAGGACCAACACGGTTTTCCTTCTGCAGCAAAGCCTCTTCCTGATTTGTTCTGTTTGAAAGCCTGGGACAGTTTTAAACCAAAGCTCCTGTGAGATGCGGGCATAGCAGAGAGTCATGGTGAGGACAGGCCCAACAAACTCAATACCAAAGATAAACAGGAAATAGGATTTGTAATATATTTGCTGGTCCACTGGCCAAATCTGGCCGCAGAAAATTTTCTTTTGGTTTTTTATCATGACTAGTACCGTCTCAGTTGCAAAATATGCAGAAGGGATGGCCACAATTAAAGAGACAACCCACACCACAGCGATAAGGAAGGTTGCAGTTTGATAATTCATCCTAGGTTTCAGTGGATGAACGATGGCAAGGTACCTGCAAAACAGAGATGTTTCCAAGATCTTTTTAAGCATGTTTTGCAATTACATGACATTTTTCAAGCTAGCTTACTACATGATACTGGTCAGAAATGATAACTTTTTGAAAGCACCTCCACCTCCTGAAACCCATATTGGGAAGACAGGACTACTGGAATATTCTATATATAGGGTTACCCTTGATGCTGGTCCAGAAGCTGCCACTACTGTGGACTGAGATCATGCAGCTGTTGTCAGGTGCTTCTTCTTATCAGCATGTAATCCCTTTGCCAAAGTTTCTGCACCAGTTGCCTGCTTGCTGCTGGGATACGTTTAAGGATTTTGGTACTACTGTGCAGAGTTCTAAACAATGTAGGGCAAAGATACTTGAGGGCATGCCTTATCTCTATCATCTTGCATAATTATGGAGGTCTTCTGAAGAGCTGGTTTCACCTGGGCCTGAGATCTGCTTGCAGATCATCAGAAGGAGGGTCTTTAATAGATAATCCCCCATCCTATAGAATGCCTTTCCAGATGAAACTAGGCATTCAGACTTCCTGTTAGAGACAGCTTTCCTGAATCATAAATCCTTGTTACACTTCTATTAATGCATTTGTTTTTACTGGATATTAGTTTACTGACCTATCACTCTGAAATCTTTAATATGGAGAAGTTTACATGCTCTGCCAAATAAATCAACAGGATGACAGGGTAACATGGAAATCAATAAAATGAAGCATCATCCTGAAAATGCCAGATGCTAGTACTTAGCAAGCGCCCTGCCTTCCCTTGCGTTGACAAGAAGACACTGCTAGATCCATGGCTCATAAGGCTGCGCTCTTGTGACTGCTTACAACAGAATAGGATAATACAGTACTACTAGATCATCATTGTATATAGGAAGCCTAACCATTTATTTTTTATAGTGCTTCAAAGTGATTTTTATTTCAGCAATGTTCTGGTTATATCTGAAATGTACAAAATATTTCACTGTATAGCTAAACCTGATAGATGGCATTGTTAATGGCCCTTCATGCTCTCCTGAAATGAGAAGTCTAACCATCTAGAACATGCATATCTGTTGAACTGACCGCTCAGCTACTCAGATAGACAATATCAGCCCATCACACTCATTCTGTCTGGCACACATTGACAATTTGTTGTTTTAAAGTTAAATTCATTTAATCCAGGTTAAGAACCACTGATCTAGAACATGCGTATCTGTTGAACTGACCACTCAGCTACTCAGATAGACAATATCAGCCCATCACACTCATTCTGTCTGGCACACATTGACAATTTGTTGTTTTAAAGTTAAATTCATTTAATCCACCAAGGAAAACAAGCATTCACTTTCCAGAACTGAGGCCGAGGTATGAAATTTGCATTGATTTCTAATAGCTTTTCTGAATGTACTGGTAGGGATATTCCACTAAAGAGAAAGGAAAACATTCAGAAATGAAAAAAGCAATATACAGGATTTTGCAGGCAACACTGGTCTAGATACTTCAGACTCTGCTGTTTTAGTTTTGCAGATGCTTATGCCCATACACCCTGTGGGAATGGATTTGGAAAAGTCCCTCTCTGAATATCTTCGACAGGTACAAGCACTGGATAAACTAGCATTCTATCTCATCTAGAAAGGAAGCTTCCCCTGTATGTAGGAGCAGAATTGCATATGGAAGGATGTCCCAGCTGCATCAGTGTCCATCCACTCTCCATTGAATTGGTGGGATGTTGGATATAAAGGTGTGTATTCTCCAGTGGTCCTATATCCATCCTTGGACTTTGGAAGGCTGTAGCTCCATCGCCCACACTGGCCAGGGAAATATCGTGAAAGATTTTGTTAAAGTATATGTGTGAGAGAAGGAGGGAGAGGTCATGGCAAAACTGTCTGCTCTGCTTTATAAAGAGGGCACAAGACCATTTCTAAGACCCCCCCTCCAAATATAAAATTTGGAGGGCAAGCAAATTACTTGGAGGTCCTAGGGATCCATGTGATTCCTGGGCAACATGTTGTCATCCCTGCTATAAAGGAAGTTGGGAAGCCCCGGTTACACATAGCTAGTTGCATACGACTAGAATGGAAGAAATGACAGTACAAAAGCAAATACAAGATTATATGTTGGTGAGGAAGATAACAAGTACAATTTACAAGATATTGTTAGAAATGGAAGAGCAATATGATGCTCTTAAAGGGAAACAGATTTGGGAAGGAAAATAAGTATTGAGGTGTGGAAGAATTTTTGGAATAAGAGAACATTAAAATGTATGTTGGTAAGAAGTCACAGGACTGAAATAGCAAGTCTTTAATTACTGAAAATCTTCCCTGCAGGTGACACCATCACCCTTCTGCAGGCATAGGTTTTGCAGCAGGCTTCCCGCTGCTAGGTACAAGGAGTAACACATTTGTTGTTGTTACAGGCTGTCAAGTTGCTTTCGACTTACAGCAACCCTTTGAATGAGCAATCTCTAAAATGTCCAGTCTTCAACAGCCTTGCTCAGATCCTGCAGACTGAAAATTGTGGCTTCCTTTCGGCAGTATGCCCATCTCATATTCAGTCTTCCTGTTTTTCCTGCTGCCTTCCACCTTTCCCAGTATCATCGTCTTTTCCAAAGAATCCTGCCTTCTCAAGATGTGCCCAAACATATTTACTAAACTTTAAAAAGCCAACTGGAAAAATGCTTACAATATTACCCAATGCCAAGTAAAATCTGCAGCTAAGATTACACTCTTCCACTGCAATCGTCCACATCTCATTAGTCTTTAAGGCCTCACAAGACTCTGGTGTTCTATCAGGATGAACTAATGTTATCCTTCAGGTGTCTAATTCTCTTGTAGGTTGCAACAAGCAAAAAACAGCAGCATGTTAGATATGTTTTCTTCTTTCTCTCACCATAACTGGATTTTCCTTCTTATATCCTAAAATTTTCCATTGTGCTTTTCTCACTATCTCTTGCTGATCAAGCCATTACTTATATTTTTAATTCAGAATTAACTTCTCAATTAACATCTCATGATGTTACAGGCATCATGTAAATAACTGCTATAGTCTGTTTTTTAAAAAAAATGCTAAGAAGAATACAATGTGAGGAGAGACTTTTTAAGTACTCCTATTATTAGGCTCCATTCTTTATAAAAAAAATAATTCCCTTGGTACCAAATATAACGGGAAACATCAGATTGACATCTCTAGGACTGACCTATGATTTAAAAGAAGAAGAAAAATTCCAGATTTCCAATCCAAATTCTCTCTCTCACTCACATGTCTCTGTGTGTACATGCGCATGTGTCCGCCATAAGAGAGAGGTAGGGTTAGACCTCACAAAAAACACTCTTTAGAACCAGGTTTTTCTGCTTGGGACACATTTCATAGAAAAACTGATCAGGTTCAGAGAGAAATAGCTTGTGCAAGTAACGAAAAAGATGGCTCTAGTCCCTTATTGAGGAAAAGATTCCACAAAGCATGACAAAGTGCCCATTTTACACAAAGCAAACTGGTAATATTCAGAGAAACATCCACATGCACACATGTAGGTAGAACGACCGTGTCCAGTTTCTCTCCTTTGCTTTGACTACTGTTTTAAGGGTCATTGGAACTTGTCAGTAAACATGGTTTGTGGGGCCCTTATTACCAGAGAGCATCACTGTGCCAATTGCTCAGTGTCATATTGCTTTTGCTTGGTAGACTTGTCAATTCACTGTCACTATCCCGCTGCAGCCTCCTTTATAATTATACTGTTATTGTTAGGTAATTGCCCGGGTATCTCTTTCAACCTTGCTCGTGCCCCACAGTCAGACAGCAGGATGTTCAAACTCTTCAAGATGTTTCAAAAGTCATTTTTAAAAATAAATCACTGAATGAACAAGTTCTGGGTGTGTGTGTGTCAAAACATAAATAAACATTGATTGGAAAGATATGTCTTCAAGGATCTTCCCTGTGGTTCATAAAACCAATGTTCCCATCAAAGGCATACCATTTTATAAACACCAGATTATAGATTCGATCCAATCTAATACATTGGAAAAGATCCATTATTGCTATGGTATCATATATTACAGCAAGAGCAAAAGACAATCTTCTATCATGCTTCTCTCCATGCACCTACCTACCTACCTACCTGCCTGCCTGCCTGCCTGCCTGCCTGCCTGCCTGCCTACCTACCTACCTACCTACCTACCTACCTGGATACCCAGGAGAAGACACTGAAAGATGTTTACAAATAAGGGGATGCTTTCAAAGCAATTTAGCATGAACTTTTTTGAATTAAGAGGACCATCCCAATAACAGCTGGATTGTGTCATATTATACAGGCCAAAAAGAAAAGAAATTGACAAACCTCCCCCCCCCACACACAAAAAAATATTACAAGTATCTTCAAGCTGGCACCTAGCTGAGATTGTTTCACTGGACAGGTGCTGAAACATGGTGGGGGAGGAGAGAGCCACAAGGGTCACCTTCTAAGCTAGGCTGCTGCCTTCAGGTGAGAAGGACAATGTTCTCCAGCCACCAGCGCTGAAGAAAGATTCCACTGCTCGTCAAGTAGGTTTTTCTACATTGAGAGGGAGGGATGTCTTATACTGGGGAGGGTCACAGTATTCCAGCCAGACATGACAAGATCAGCCAAGCTTCCTGTCAGTAAAGAAGTGTGAACTTCCACAGTGCAAGGGAATGGCACCAGTACTCAAGGCGGTAACAATGGCTGTGGTGGCCCAAGGGTTAGCTGGCTCTCCTTTGCTAGGAGGAGGGTCTCTTTCTGTTCTTTTGCACAGAGCATACCCAAGGAACTGCTGGAGCCTACACCACCCATGGATCTGTAGGAAACTCTTTTCTGGTAGTCTTTCCTCTCAGCACTCAGTGGCTACTGTGAAGCGAGCACTGGGGCTCCTCTGAATGCAGTGATTTTGAAGGGCCATGCCAGTGACAAATGGTTTCTGCACACAATGAACTATCTGCTCTCACAGTTGCTAACAGGGTAGGGGCATTGGGAGACTGACAAGAGCATGAGTTTGGGAAAAAAATGGTTCTAGAAAGGAATACAAAATTACTGGCTCCAAACAAGCCCGTTTCCCAATATTTCTCCTTACCTATCTACAGCAATAGCCAGGAGGGCATTCGTAGAGACGTAGAGAGAGACAGTGCGCAAGTAGTTGACAGAGGCACAAAGCATGTGGCCATGTTCCCAAGAGAGCTGCCGCACTACATAGTAGTCCATCTCGAAGGGGCAGCAGACGATGGCCACGAGGAAGTCAGAGATGGCCAGGTTTGCAATGAGAAGGTTTGTGAGGTTGCGGAGCTTCTTATAGCGGGCCAGGGCCGCAATGAAGACGAAGTTGCCAATGCCACAGACCAACATAATACCCACCAGTGCCATGCCAATGACAATCCTAGCAGCAAAGAAAGTGCGGGTCTTGGTCACATCATCGTCTGCGTCCAAGGGCAAATCATAGTCGCTGTAGCTGAAGTTGAAGGGGAAAGCAAAGTTTTGGTAAGAGGTAAAATCTCCACTGTGGTGGCTGTAGATTGCAGCAAAGTTGGTACTTAGCACTGTGTCATTGGGATACTGCTCTTCCTGCCTCATGGCGATGCGAATGCTGCTTCTGCTTTTCAGTCCAGCTGTCTTGAGTATTGCCTTCTCAGTATCTCCCAGAAAGGGCTGTCCAGGGAAGACTGTTTATGCTTCTGAAAATCATGATTGCAGTACCTTTCCCAGGAATCACATCACTTCTTATCTTTTAAAATCAGAAGAGAAGGAAAAACAGAATCAGAGAGAGGGAGAGGAAAATGCAAAACCAGAGTCATCCCTGCTCTATAGCTTGTCTTCTAAAAGTACTACATACTGTCTTGGAGAAGATTAATCTTTCCGTGAGTATGCAGTTTCCATCTTCTTGAGACCACTTACAAGGAACCTTTTCTATTTTCAAAACATAATACAATGGTCTTTCATGCAACTGGATTTTGCAAAGTCTGCTTCCCCCCCCCCTTTTTTTTTAGTATAAACTGGAACAACAAATTGGGACTGGAACTGAAGTGATTTTCCGGTCTAGTTGTATTTCTTCTAGTCGTGTCACATCTGTTTGTGATTCTTGCACAGAGCTGAGTGTGTGGACGTGACTGAAATATGTCATTGTCCCTCTTTTGTTTTTACACAATACTTCTAAGGGCTCTCAAGGGCTCTTCCAGGACCTAGACTGCAGTTCTTATGATTTGGGTACTTGGAAGAAATTAAGCTGAGTCAAAGGTGTCACATGCCAGCAAATATTTTATAGTAGGAAAAAACATATCCTTGCCAAATTTTCTAGCGGTACTAAGGCAAAATAACTCTTTTATGGAAGCTGATCAACAGAATGGTATGTTTTATCATGCAACTGACAAAAAGGGAGGAAAATAACTCAGCTTTGTAATGGAATTGACATAGTTGTCCCCTAGCAATCAAAAAATAGGATCTGTAAATCACTTGGGAGTCTTATGAATGCCTCCATTTGATAGACTGCAGATGTCTGCATAGAGGGCTAAAATGGAACAACCCTGATCCAGAGTTGTATTGGAGCTGCAATATGTTTATTGAGGAATGACTTTCCCTGTTCCCCTTATATAAAGGTGTTCCTTACTGAAATCCGCATAGATATGTACCCTGGAACTGGTGGAGGCGTGAAATTCTGGGTTTCAAAATGACCCTTGGATTTCACAGGCTTTTGCTTTTAATGACCATATGCAGTGATGAAAGGAGATCCAGGAATTGGAGAACAAAGATGGGAAGGGTGTCCCTTCCCTCTTGTTTTCCTTGTTTCCCCTGTGCTAGTTTGTGACTCTAATAGTAGCTTGGGAAGACAGAGATTTCCCCAGCAACATTGCATTGTTGTGAGCTCTGTAACATCATCATCATCATCACCATTATCATCACCATCATCAACAAATACTTTGTAATAGCTTGGTAGTTAAGGTCCAGTAGTTTTATAAAAGTCCTGCTCCTGCTGGAGAGGAATCCTTCTAGAACTGCTTTGTTGATATGGATCAGTGCCCCCTCCTGATTTGTCATGATGAGCACCTACAGGAGAAGATTCAACTCTATATACCCGTATTTTTCGCTCCATAAGACACACCTTTCCATAAGATGCACCAATTTTTTAGGAGAAGAAAACAGGAAAATATAATCTGTTTTCTTCGCTCCATAAGACGCACAGACTTTCCGCCCCCCTGTTTTGTGGGGGAAAAGTGCGTCTTATGGTGCGAAAAATACAGTAACTACCTATGTGTTACTGATTCACATGTCAATCAGTAAGGAAGCTTACATTTGCAGAAGTTAAGACATGCTGGCTCTGAAACAACTCTGGCCATGCTGAAATCAACACTGAAAAGCTTGCTTAAGTAGCTTGTGGACAGCATGCAAAGCAATGCCTTTCAGAAAAATCTGTATCTCATGCAGACTTCACTGGAAAGTGGGAGGGGGGGATAAACATATCATCCAGTTTGACCATTAGGAGAGGAAATTCGCCCATGACAGAAGCAAACACCAAACTTTCCATCACAAAGTGAGAACTGTTTTCTCTTATGCAAATTTGTAGCTCTGACATTTTTCATTTGATGCAATGATTTGCTGGTCGCATGGCTGCTTTTCTTCATTTAAGCATAGGTAGATAATTTCAAAAGCTCTATACTCACATTGTTTGGAGCAAATCTGCTTCCAGATTCACCCGTATGAGAATTCCAAGTTATAGGTACAACTTGGCAGAATCTCACAATGCTGCAGAACAACTGGAGAAAAAAAAAACAGCTTGTTTCCTTGCTTGTTTCCTTCAATGGATCTTTACAATGTCCATAAATATTGTGGTTTTCTTTATTCTGGTACCTAAAAAGAGTCAGCCTAGTGGAGGAACACTCAGGCCAGTCAAACAGCATTTACCGAGATACCTACCAGTGTCCACTAGACATGGGCAGTTCCACTGATGGACTTTTCTAGTGGGGAAAAAAACCTCTTACGCAAAGTTCTTTGCTGACCTTCAGTGAACTGGTGTACACTTCCCCCTTTATATTAGTCAGCTTCCCTTCAACCTGGCGCACTCAGGATGCAACAACCATCATCCTCAGGCAGTATGTAGGCTAGCACGATGGTCGTTGTATTTCTGATGTTCTCCTGGGAGCCAGATTAAGGGGAAGCTGGTGTTGTCAGACCTCATCAAAGTCATTCCAATGAGCAGAGATCTAAAACAAAAAAGAAAGAAAAAAAGAAAAGAAAAGAAAAAGTAAAAGTAAAAGGAGCATAGCACTGTGGAGAATTTCAGTGATTTATTGAGGTTTAATCTTTTGCAGACAGCCCATTAAATGGATTCATTCTAAAAATTCCCAGAAAAGTAAATGCCTTTTTGTTGCTGTACATTACTGTACCTACTTTTCTGCAAATTATAGTGGAGGAACACTGAGTCTATGGGGTGTACCAGACAAAGTCGACTTAGAATATTCTGAAGTTCTGCTGAAAACAATCATCCCCCCCCCCCCGGAATGTATTCAGGATCAAGATGGAAATAAGTCCTAACAATCTGGCCAGTACCGATGCCTGGAGAGGGGAAGGGATGTGTCCGATCCCCTCCTCTGTGTTGCAAAAGAACAGAAAAATGTCTAAACTCAAGATCAACGTCTGTCTTGATTTTTGCCAAATCAAATCCATACAGGTTTAAATCTGCTCCCTGACAAAAAGAGTAATTTTTTAAAAAAGTAAAAAATCAGCCTGTACCTGCTCAAGAACTTCTGCCACTGTCCCCTATGGATGTTCTGAGAGAGGCTTCTTTGCACTTGATGGTCCTCGGAAAGCTCTCAGTGCTGTGAGCAGCACTGCATGGGAAGGTTGAATAAACGATGCTGCCGTGTGGTATCACAAGAGGAATTGCACTTCTGCCTTGCAGCTCAGAAGGATCAGAAGTCCAGCTGCCTGCCTGTGTGCTTGCCTCTAAAACCTAGACTCAGTGGGCGGCATCTGTATTGCTTTCCATGCATACGTAATTTTAAAGAAACAGCACACAATATGGCACACCCCCTCCTCTGAATATGGGAGCATAAGATTCCTCATGCATAGATTCAAGACAATCCTCTGGAAAACATACCAAGCCCTTTCAATTTGGAGCTTACACTGTAAATCTGATTGCCATGGGATACCTAGTTAGTTTCAAGAAACACACGCCTGCCTGCTTTGGATCATTCCACAAAAGCTCCATTGGGGATCCTTTTCCAAAAGGGGCGACATCGTCCATACCAAAGATGAACAAAGACAGTTTCCCAAAGGGTCACAGTTCTCAGCGATTGAAACCTTTCTCAAGTGGCTTTGTTGTTTCTAGAGCTTCTGGATCTTAGCAGCCATTTGCTGCATGAGGTGATTGATACACAGCATAGCCCATGTTCTCAATCTAAATAGCAGGTTGAAGGGGAAAAAAGCTAGATTGAAACATCCACCAATATACTACATTTACATCTTTTGTAACAGTACTTATGCATTTCCTTTTAGCTGGTCTAGGTTGACAATGTGTCTTAAACCCTATTGCTAGTCTCAACCAGAGTAGACTCATCACATTAGATGTTGATTAGTGAGTCAATACATGAGTAAATCCCATTTATTCAATAGGATTAATCTAATTGGGAGTACCAATAGGACTCTGGCCTGGGGGTTGTGTGAAAATCCTATCGTGGTGTACTCCAAGTCATTGTCAATGCATGAAATTTAAGCAAAACTAAGAACTTCAAGAATCCACCAGCCTTGAAATTCTGATTGATTAACTGCAATTGATTGCAACAAATGATTGCAATTTTCCCATTGATCTTTTCTAGATAGTACTTGCATTTAGATGAGACAGATAGGTAGGTTAATCAAGGGTCTTCAAGAGGCAGCTGCTGATGCATTTAATCAGTTCTACCAACCAATTAAAAAGAAATTTGAGTTGCAAACAGTATGAGTTTTAGTTGAGTGATTTTAAATTTGTGTATAATTGAAAAACAATTAGGGCTCCTGATGGATTTCTCCTGACATAAGCTGAGAAATGAACTCCTACGGGTCCATAAAGTCAGTCTCAAAAGAACAGTATGTTTATAATGCCTTGGAATTTTCATCTGGCTTGGATTAAAATCTGAACTGCAAAATAATTTGCTACCTCTCCAGATCTGCCCAGTCCTAAACCAGAGCTTTAATTGTTATACTACAGTACCTTACAGATTTAGTTTCTTATGTACAGTTATTCTGGGCATCAGATTTCTTGATACAGTTCTTCTGAAATTATTTTGACAAAAAAACATACGGAGGGGAAAAAAACCAAACTAAAACAAAACAAAACAACCTAATGCCACACCATCTGTTTTAATCACTTCACAAACCATTACCATGTGGACTCTCAAGATGCCACTATGAAAACATGGAGCTGTTTGTGGCCATATGGTCTTGGACAGAGTTCCTGAATGTGATACTCTCCCTCTGTTAATCTTAGCTGGAAGGGACCCTATGGATCATCAAGACCAGCCCTTGCCAAGGAGGCACAGAGGGGGAATTGAACTCCCAACCTCTGGCTCCACAGTTAGAGATCTAAACCACTGAGCTATCCAGCAGTTCAAATAGGTACTTGTTGGACTACAAATCACAATTATTGGTTATTCTGTCTGATTATGATGAGCGCTGTAATCTAAAACGTGAGAGATTTTGTTTGGCATAAAGCTTAGTTTCAAAGTCTAATGTTGCATGATTTGAGAATGCATGACTCCAATGCATAGCATGTACAGAAATAGCCCAGTTCGTGCCCATGATATGTTCCTAGAATGAAGAGCACTAACTGAAGCAGGAGTAAATGGGTTTATTATGATATTGCACTTCATTGGATGGTGAATGAAACTTCAGCTGATTCCAAATCTGTGGGACAGCGTTTCCAGCCTTGGGTAACCCAAATGTTCTTGGACTGCAGCTCCCAGAAGCCTTCACCATCAGTTGTGCTGGCTGAGATTTCTGGGAGTTGCAGTCCAGGAACACCTGGACACCTGGATTATCCAAGTTTAGAAACCACTTCACTAGAGGAGGAGGGGGTAGAGGAGGAGGTGGCGATGGAGGGGCAGAAGTGTGGAAGGAGAAATTTGAAAGAGAGAAAGTCCTATGTGAGGGGAAAAGGGAGCAAAAAAAGAGGAAAGAACTGATTCAGCCACCCAATGCACTCAGTGCCTTTGCCACTTTTACTATGTGGGGAGGGGCTGGTGAGTGAGGAGAGACTGCATGAGAGCTCCCAACCAACTGACTGACCACTCATTTGCCTGCTTCTCTCTCTCTGTGTGTATGTGCATAGGTAACATGTGTGTTTCTGTCTGGGAGAGTGTATGTGAAAGAGAATTGAAGGAATGGGGAGAAGCAGAGAGACAAAGAGAAGAGACAGAGAGGAAGAAAGGAGGGGCAATTTGCCCCAACCAGAGAATGGCTGATTGACTCATGACTGACTGACTCTTGAGTGGATGTGGTGAAAAGTGTGTTGCAATGGAACAGTGCTAAACAGAGTGGGATATTAGTGTATGAAGCACGGTATTAGAGTATTGGGGAGGTGAGCCTTAGGTCCTCCAGTTATTTATGACTTCAGTTCCCAGGAGCCATGGCCAGTAAGATGAATGGTAAAGGATTGTGGGATGAATAGTCCAAAACATCTGGAGGGCCAAATATTCCCTAGCCCTGCCATTTTCAACAGACCTTGTCCATTTACCTAGGCAGCCCATCAGTACCATTCTTCGTGCTGTTTATCAATACCATGTGTGCTCTACATCAAAATAGCAAAAAAGGAAGTGGAGTCAAACTGTAAAGCTGTGTAGGAGATGTGGAGCTTGACCATTAGGGTTGACCCAGAGGAAGACAGAAAGACATTTCATTCATTCTGTAAAGATAAGAAAGGTTAAGATGACCAAGCAGAGTTCTGCTGAGAGAAAGACAGACCCGTTCTCCTTTTCTTTGCAATATTTCTCCCAATGATTTGTTGTACCTTTCTTTCTCCATTGCTTTCAAGGCTCATCCATGAAACTGCTGTTCATTTTGCTTGAACAAAAAAGCAATTGTACTGCCTACAGTGTGTGTTGGGGAAGATTATAAAGTGGTGCCATTTGCCAGGAAGGTGGCTATAGAAATGCCCAGTTCTTCCTAATCTCTCTGTGATCTTATCTGAAGCAAAACCTAGCAATAATGGAAGCCCGATTCAAGGAGGTGTGATCCACCAGCATAGTACAATGAATGCATAGGGTTACCTTATAAATTACTCTCACTTGAATTCCCAGAATAGAGACATACCATAATGTACAGCTGCCAGGCTAGACATTGAGGGTTTTTTTTAGTGAATGATGGCTTCATTTAAGTTGAACGACTCTTCAATAAGCAAACAACCTAACAGAAAGAAATCTTTCCTCCAGTGCTCATATCCTTATCAGACTGCGCTGGAAGGTAGGTATCTGCATTGTATTGCATCAGACCATTGGTTGATTGAGCCCAATGCTGTCAAAAATCTGACTGGTAGCAGCTCTACAAGCTTCCATGCTTTTGGATACCTATTTATTTATTTATTTATTTATTTTATATCCCGCCTATCTAGTCGGTTGACCACTCTAGGCGGCTCACAACAAAGGGGACAGCAATAATAAAAACCATTTTACAAAGAGAGAACTTTCAACAATTGAATAAAACACGAGGGGAGAAAAGCTTCCATGCTTTTGGATACCTATCTGAAGATCTCTGCTATTCCTTGGCTAGATAGACTGAAGCTCCGCCATGTGTTGCTTCCAGAATCAAATATGATCAGATGTGTTCAGGGAGGTCTCATGGTTTTGGCAGAGGAGCTTTCCCCCATTCGGTCTATTTTAGGGCTGCAGCTTGGGACCTGGATGCAGAACTGGGGTTCAGAGGCCCAGGCAGTGGAGTGAAACAGATTCCTTTCTCTCTCTGAGGTTGGAAGAGGAGATGTGATCTTGTATTCCCTAACCCTTGCTGGGAAGATCCTTCTGCATCCCTTTCCTCTATGACACTGGGGAAACAGAAAGACAGTGGGAGGGGGGGATGGATGGTTCAGATGGTGGCTTGGGCAGAAGCTGAGAATCTCTGGATACACAGGATCCAAAACTTTCCAATATGGACCAATTGTACGTACGTACGTACGTACGTACGTACGTATGTATGTATGTATGTATGTATGTATGTATGTATGTATGTATGTATGTATGTATGAGGTTTAACAAGGGATAAATTTTCTTAACATTTAACGTGCTAGTAAGAGTATGGCAGGAAATATCAGATGAAAAGATAATTTATAATTTTACTGGGGGTGTGTGTGAGCCCCGCCTAGACATTTCAGAATATGTTTCCATGCTGCTCATGCTATGGTCAAAAACAGAAGGATTATTGATAGTCTGGACTCTAGGATGGAATCATGAGAGTTAAACTGGCACCAGATGGTTACACTTCTGTAATATAGGTAAACCCATAGATTCCACAGTGCTGATAGATCTTCTATACACAAGACAGGCAGATTTCAGCACATGAGCCATCTCTGTTGCTACAGTAATAATAGGATAAAAGGCAGTGTGTACTATGGATTTGCCCCTTCATGGATTGCTGCCTTCTCGTGGCAAAGGGGCTTGAGTAACTCAGAGAAGCTATGGGCTATGCAGTGCAGGGACACCCAAGACAGACAGGTCATAGTGGAGAGTTCTGACTAAACGTGATCCACCTGGAGCAGGAACTGGCAAGCCACTCCAGTATCTTTGCCAAGAAAACTCCATGGACAGAAACAAAAGGCTAAAAGATATGATGCTGGAAGATGAGCCCCTTAGGTCGGAAGGCGTACAACAAACTACTGAGGAAGAGCGGAGGATAAGTACAAGTAGCTAATGAAGTGGTTGGGCCA